TTTTTTTTTTTTTTTTTTTTTTTTCAATGGAGGGAAGGAGAAAGGGAAAAATTGCGATCTGTCTAACGCTTCTTCTCTCATTTCTATCTCTCGACTCTTGTCGAGCGATCGGGCAAAAATCGGGGAAGAATCGAAGAAATCGAGAGAAACTCTTCTTTCCACCGTGAGAATTTTCCCTCGTTGCAATTTTTTTGCCCGATCGCTCGACGATGATACGTCGCCTTCGTATTTTCTAGTCACCTCGGTCCTTCAATTCCTACGAAAGTGCTGCTATATATATATATATATATCGTGTACAGTATATTGAACACTGAGTACGCGTATACCGCGATCCTGAGCACCGATAAGTCTATCCACTTGTACATACGAGACTAGATAAACGATGCCTAGGGTAAACGATAGGAATTTTCGCGGCGGCTGGTTCCTTCGCGAAAGAAGATCTTGTTCACCTTGCGATGCGTGAAACTTTGTGATGCGAATACGATGTTAAATCGATGTTAACCCTTTAAGGATCTACATTTCAACATATTGATTGAATAAAAATATCTGAACAAAACAGTGTAGATAATATTAAAATAACAATAAAATCGGTAAAATCTTGGTAAAAATCAAATTTTTTTTTAATTTTCTTTCGAGAAGCTCTTTTTTTCAGACCCACGTCGAATATAAGAGATTTCAAAGATTATAAATACGTTTAATCTGTTGATAATTTACATGTACATAGAATTAACTGACGTTGCGACAAATTCACTTGAATGAACAATGGACAGATGTAAACGCGTTTTCCAATCACAAGCTGCTTTTTACGATCCTCTGCTCGAATGACGAAGGGTTAACAACATTATACGTAATCATTTTCGCAACAAATCAATAGAAATTGTAATACCTTTAAGAGACACCAGCCTCGCGAAATTCCCGATTTATCTTGTACATTCGAAAGCCCGTCGTACGTAGCGTAAAGTACTTATATCGTTCCATTGTATTCCTTTCCGTTCGAATGAGAAAGAGAGAAAGAAAGAAAGAAAGAAAGAAAGAGAGAGAGAGAGAGAGAGAGAGAGAGAGAGCTCACGTCTTTAGCGGGAGTAGAAACTCGAAACCCGACTTAACTCTGTTCTTCTCGAAAACCTAAACGCATAATATCATCACGCTCCTTCCTTTGATTTACCATTTAAGAGCAGAGTGGAGAGAGATTACAAGGCGAATCACCACCATTCTTTCCCAATTCGCGGATGCGCATCGTGGATGATCCTCGTATCTTCGATTTCGAAGATGGAACCTCCACCACCACATTTCTCCTCAACTTTCGAAACGTCGACGGGCAAAGAGCATCCTCTAACCTTCACTTTAGAAATGGGCGAGAGTATTAAAGGAGTATCAAATGCGTTTGAAAGTAATTTTTCCCTGAGTTATTGAGAATGAAATTTATTATTATTAGACGATCAATATCAACGAGCAAGTTGATATTGATAAGTTTCGAGAGTTACTTACTTTCACAGTCGCTCTCAACATAATCCCCATTAACGAAAAAAAAGGAACGTTTTCTACTCTCAAATGTATTCCCATCTTCGAATAATTATAATACGAATAAGTACAAACCGGCTCCACTTCATCCACCATGATAAATGGATAGAAATAATGGCGTGTCATTGATCATTCACGATGCGTATTTTAAATTGAAAACCTGAATTCGCTGGCTAACGATCGCTGTCACGATTAATGCCGCTCCGAATTCCGAGGAAGAACGAAGAACGTTTGAACGAGACCAGTGTAACCAACTGGTCGATCGTGATCGTGGATCCACGTGAACGAAGTAATAGAGCTATTACGTTATCAAGCCCATAATCGCAAGGAAATCAGAGGGAACAGATATGATTAGCGATTGGTTAAGTGCCAAACGGAGTGAGTCGTTCAAACGTTCCTCCCCCCTCTGCGCGCATCTTTCTGTAATTCTTAAGATGGATTCAAGTATACGTTGAAATGATTAACAAATAAAATACTGAGTGTTCCTTTCTGATTGTGGCTGCAATTTTTTTTTTTTTTTTTCTTTTTTCTATACGTCGCGAAACGTATATATATTGAGCGAATTTTTATTTCTCACTAGTTCGATAATGATAAATATAATATATATATATAGAGAGAGAGATATAAGGTGGAAGAAGATGGATTATAGAAAAAGAATAGATTGCAAGTTTTTAGATAAACGTATCATTGATCTCTTCCAATGTAATATATATCATAAGAAGATGTGTTATTTTATTTCTTTTCAGTAAATTAAAAAAAATGTTAATTGTAAAATTATAATATTGAATATTGAATAACGGTATATCTGTTTGCGAGTTAAAATTGAGATGATTTGTAAGCGGGCTTTGTTTCGACAGAATTGCATAGAAAAGAAATATTTTTCTGAGATACTGGTAGTTGAGAAAAGATTGGAATAAGTATGATGTAATCATACTAATATAAACATCTTAACAGATAAGAACTGGATGATCGAAAAAGAAAATATGATTTAAGAAAATTTGATATTTGAAAGTGATCGATTTCTGATTCTTGCAACGATTAAAAAATAATTGGATACTTTCGAATATGATCAATGATTTTTTTTTAATGTTAATTAAAATTAAGATTCGCCAATGAAAAATTCACTTATCAAACGTCTATTCAAAGGAAAATCAACAAGGCCGACAAATCTAAATATATCGTTGAATCGCTTGCCACTACTATTCACTTCGAAGAAAAATATTTATCTCTTTACTTTAAGAAAGAATAAGATAGGCCTCGTGTAAATTTCTTCGTTAAAGTCGAAGAAAAATATATTGCGCCGAAATTATCACGATTCTTAAATTCTTCGTAAAAATTTCCAATCGTAATCGCATTATAGCGAGAATAATACATTTGAAAATTAAATTATTCGTCGAGATTTTATTTTTCGTTAATAGAAACTAAAATAGATACTATATTGAGAATGAAAAATAATTCTACTCGTGAAAACAAAAATACTTTGGAAAATTTTTACTCTCAAATACGTTCGCACAATTGCGATACGGAGAAAAATTTGCAGACAAGAATATCTTGTCGTTATTTACGAAAAAATTTGCAAATTACATCGTCTCGACGACATAATTTCGACGACATAATTGCCAATGTATTATCGAACGCATACATAAAGCCTCGATGAAGAAAAGTGTGACGTTATAAAGAAGAAAGCTCATTAGCTTAAGCCATCGAACGGCTCGAGCCACTTAAAAAAAAAACGGATATCTACTCGAAGGCAAATCGATGTCCTTCTTGTTTCGAGGCTAAAGTTTCGATATCTAAAAAGGTTGCCGGAAAGGAATCGTTCGTTCGACCATCGGTATGACCATCGACTCCTCGAGATGGTTGTTTTAAACTGTGCGCCACTTCTCATAAATCACCGGTTTAAAACGTTTTATCGGCACAATTCGGATAGCATTGCTCCTGCGTATAAGGCTAAACGCTCGTTAATCTTTTCCAGGCGAGATGCGTGGATCAGGCACGATCGTAGGCGACGCGCCTGGAAAATTGATGGAGAGATGTTGTTATGGGAGAGAGTGAGAAAAAAAGTTGGAGACCAAGCGCTCCTTGATTCTTTCACGACATTGTTGTGAAAACCTTGGAGAGATTAGGACAGACGAGAAGAAAATTCTCGTTTAGTTTTGTTTGGATTATGGAGAGCTTAATTTGACGAGCTTGACATCTCAAGGAATCCTTGGTGAATCAGAATAATGGAAATAAAATTTGCATAACAAAAATAGAGATTGAAAGGAGAGTAGGAAAGGGTAGGAAATATTTGGAATTTTATAGATTCTGATTGGCAAAATGATTTTAATATGTTAATTTCATCGTCGGTTTCGCGAAGAAACTTTGATAATTATTTTATCGCGAAATCTGTAGATTTATATAAAACAAATTCTTATTAAATCTCAATAGCTTAAAACCCCTCGAAACTATATTATTACAAAAATGATGAAGCGCTTCGAAACCTATATATTTATAAACCTATATAAGAAAAAAATAAATTAACAAGAATACAAAGAAAAAAAAAACCTATAATTTTATAAATTCCAACGCAAAGAGATGTCAATCAAAAGAACTTTTCGTACAGAGAGAAGAAAAGTATAAAGAGAGAAAGATTTAAAAAAAACAATTTCAAAATCTACGAGGAGAATTTATATTGTCGCAAGATTAAATCCGTTAATCCGTTCGTTTAACTTGAGCAATACGTTTGTTTATTCGCGTGGAGAGGGGAAGTACGAAGGAGATACGGAAATCACCGCCGCCGATCGATCCGCTTCAAAACAGAAACAAACGACGGCGTACGTTCGTACATCATCGTTCGCTGCGAAGATAATGAAATGCACGGCGACGAAATGGGCGGACGCGTGCGACTGTGTGCGTAACGCTGCTCGCTTACGTTTATATAATGCCAGACCCGGGAAAGTGAGACACCATTGAATCGTCGACCGTCAAAGAGGCACGCGTTTCTCTCTGTCGAACGACATGAAACTCCGCATATCCGTTCTTCTCGTCGCCCTCGTGGCCATTCTTCTGCATTCTGCCGGTAAGAAGGAAGATCCGTGTAAATGTGGAATCGATTCGTTTGATTATTCTCTGAACAGTGTTTCAATGGTTTTTCTTTTAAATTTAAAAAGTAGTAGAATTGCAAATTAATATATTTGTTTATTTTATTTAAAAGGGATTAGAAGAAGTGCCCAAATAAATTTATGAATAATTTTTTCATTTCAATAAAATAAAGATGGAGAATTTTTAATTATCTTAATCTGTATTTAATTATCGATTTTAGCAGTCATGGGAAAAAATTGAAAATAGCTATTCCACTTTTATCGTTCGAAGAACGAGTGGCCCTCTTTCGAAGGGGCCGATCGTGGTAAATTGAAATATTCGCTCGAGCGAGGTGAACCCTTGCTTCGTTTCGTTCACCCTATTCACTTCACGTTCCATCGAAACTTTCGAATCGATCGTACAAAACATCGCCGATTATTTAACAATTTTTCGCAGCAATAACGTTAACATCCAATTTACAGAATACACGAGAGCAAACAGCATATGTCCTCGAGAGAATTGCCTCGATTCGACAAAGTGCGAGCTTTTTGTGATGGGTGCTACGTGTCCACGATCGAGTGACACGTGTTGCAGCGTTGGTAAGTTCGTTCAAAAATGTTATGATTAACGAAGAACGGAAGTTGCAAATATTTATTCTTCGTTAATTGAGTCCTAATTTTTAATTAGGATTTAAGAAACTGAAATAATTTGTAGATAATTCAGTGTGAAACTTTTCGTTTATAAATAATTAACAATTTATAAAATTTTCTTACTCGGATCTTTATAAATGATATTGAACTATTCTCGTTCTTATAAACAAGCTTTAATTCGTCAATCTTGACTCAAGAAAAAAAATACACTTATTATATCACGTTCGCAACGAATCAAATTCAATATATTGTGTTTATTCTAAACACAAATTAGAAAATTATTACAATCTGTCAAAAAGTAACTTTACTTCTACCCATGAAAAACGAAAAATATAAAAAAAGTTATTCCATATTTTAAAAGAAGGCAATAAATATCGAAAAATTTCATTCCGAATCAACTTATCGAAGAGCGAATTTATTTATTTATTATTTATTCCTGAGTAAGCAGTTCCTGAAAAGTGTTTGACGTTCGATCTAAAGTTTTTCCATCGTTTTTCGCACGACTATTTCTTTCTATCGATAAGATAAAGAGCTGTTGTGGAAACGTTTATTCCGGTCACGGTTAGAAAATACTCGGTGGAGATAATTATAAACCTGGTGACGATAACGTAACTCCGCGTTACAAACTGGATATAGCAATTTCACAACACGCAACACCGTCATTTCTACCGTGCCAAATCGAATGCTCTCGAGATTCACTTTTGCACGGCGTGAATTCGGAACGAAACCATCGACCGGTTAATTCATGCGTCACGCTGTCCACACTTTCACGAAACATGTCGCCACCTATAACTACGTTCAACTTGTTTCTCTATGGGTTCACTGTTCTTCTTCGGGTTCACCACTTCGTTAAAGAGTTCGAGAAAGATAATTCGTTGGATGATTATAGTTTTCATTGGAGAAATAATCTTGTCTCCTTGTATATATATTTTTTTTAATATTTCGAATATTTAAAATTAATAAATATCATGTTATTTTTAGGAGACAATTATAAAAACTTGACTTTATTAATTTAAGAAAATCTAAGAGAATCGTTCTTAGGTTGAGAAAAAAAAATCAATATGACATTTCCTCAACTAAAATGATTATTCCTATTTATGATTTCTTTATCAAGAAATGTTATTGCATTTCAATTTATATCTATTTGAATTTACATTTGTTCTGCTCCGATAAATTAACACACATATATATATTTTTTAATTTTCCTCTTCAATAACGTAAACTTTTTTTTAATGGATATTATTTCTCGAAACTTTGATACTTTTGCTCAACAATAAAAATACGTATTCAATTTTCGTGTTCACAGTGAAATCGGAATACAGAACTCACTGCAACCACTTCGCGGGCGAGTGCATGGACTTCTGTAACAAGGCTCTGCAACACGCGGTCGTCGATTGTCCATCGGACAAAGTGTGTTGCACGTTGGTTTAATCCGTGAAGAGAGGAACAAAAAAAAACAGGCAACAACGAGAAGCCTTCCTGCCTGCCTGCCTGTCCACCATCTGAACAATAGCGTTAATGTAACATCGATTAGTCTCGACATCGACTCGATCTGTGAATGTATGAATCCCGTATCATCTGTTCGTAACACACGTAACAGAAAAGCGAGTTAATTGATTTTACAATCGCAATGATTGTGCGTACATGTGTGGACACGAAAAATGGCGTGCGCCGCTTGATAATTGTGAATACGTTGCGACACAAACGCGTGGGACGTGAAATTAGTGCAAATGTGAAAACGTGAAAACTTCCGCGAAATATGCACTTGCTCCGTTCGTTTCTCTCGTTTCAGTGGATGAGAAAATGTGAAACGTAATAGTAAAACGTGTTTGTTATAATAAAGCATGTGTTTGAGAGGTAGTCTGAAGAAATTTAAATGAAACGATAATATGTCGATAAATCATTTTTCAATGATAGACGAAAGATCGAGATTTTTTCACGATGATTTTATATGTCGGGAATATATGTTATTAAACAATGTTTCTTTAATGTATATTATTCTTACGCTTGTAGTCGATGAACGATATATCTTTAATTGCAATTCTTTTTTTATCAAATTTGCGAAATACGACACGAAGCAAGAGTTGGACGTTATATTCAAATAATTTTGAAACGATCAATTGTCCACGAACACGGAATAAACGATCGTATGTAATACAATTCGACCATTCATTCGAAATTAATCGATAATTAATTTCAGGAGAAAGAAGACCGATCACCAAACCTAACCTCTTTCTTCTTCCTTTTTCGACCAATCTTCTCCGCAATCAATCGATCGATTAAATTAAAAGTCTTCTCCACGATTCTTCTCTAACCAAACCAAATAAAACTAGCGAATAATTCGAGTAGAAGAGAAGGAAGGAAGAGCGAAGAGTAGCAGGAAGAAATAAGAAGTGGATGTGGAGGGGAGGGGGAGAGGCACGTATCGCCGCGGGCAATGCAGGACGGTTTGACGGTGAGGGAACGCACGCACGGAAGATTTAGCGTCGTGTTGGTCAGCCCTGGAGGGTCACTCGAAGAATCGAGGCGCGCGAGAGAGAAAGGAGAATGGCTCGAGGCTCCCTCTATCGTCGGCCATCGCTCGTCGAGATATAAGAGAGCATGGGACGGTGACGCATTCGTCAATGCGAATTACGAACGTTGTAAAGCGTTGGCTCGAGACGAGTAACGATAGCGAGCAGGGATATATCGTTCGAACTGGCGGGATTCTTCGTGCGCGCGGGGAAGCGAGAAGGAAGAGATACCTTGCCCGAGGCCAGACACGAGGAACATGTGACACTAAATATAGAAACACGCCACGAAGGAATTCTTCGAAAGGTAACGAAACAAACATTCTCGTTTCGACAAGAAATACTAAACACGTGACGTGATCGCTGGTTGGGTCAAAAGCAACTTTCCTGTAGATCCAGAAATGGTGAAGACGCGTACTTTTACACCTAACGATATTTAAATTTAAATAAATAATCTCCTTCTTATCTTCTTATAATTCTTATATATATCACGTATATTATCAGAATAATCATTAAGAATCTTAAGAACAATAAAACATTTCCAACGTGAAGAACAATATTAATAAATTTCCTCGAAGAGAGAAATATCCATTTTCATCTCGCGTCGTCTCAAATTCTCGAATCACTTCAACCACTTGATAAAAACCGCGATAAATCCATAACGCAAAGAAATCGAGAAATTATCGAGAGGACTGCGAGCAAGAAGAAGAAGAAGAAGAAGACGAGAAGAGACGACAACGACGACGACGACGACGACGAAAAGGAAGGATGATGAAGAAGAGGTATACCTTGCCCGGGGCGCTGCAGGCAGATGCCAGTACGTGTACTTACATGCACACATACATACATACACATTTGTAAGAGCCGTTTCGGTTAGCCCGGGGGCGAAGGCGCGGAATCATGCAGCGTGGAAGAAGGAGGAGGAGGAGGAGGAGGAGGGCCCCCTCCGCCCCTCTGGCCCCCATCGTTGCACGGAAGATGGCCCCGGGGGCACACGCGGAGGTGTACCCCACCACGAACCACGGAGAGGAGCAACGGTCGTTCCGCTTCGGGCGCGGAAACGAGAGGAGATAGCGGCGAGCTTCGTGCACCCTCCGCACCCTCTCCCCTGTCTCCTCGCGGCCAGAGCCGGCGAAGGGCGGAGGGCACCGTGGAGAAGGGGGAGGAGGTGGGATTCACGGTGCCCTGAGGACGTTCAGCGAGACAATACGCTGTTCGTGGACCCTGCGGCGACTTCACGACGGACCGCTTGCTTCTCCTCTCCTCTCCTCTTCCCCTCCTCCTATTCTCTTCCCTCTCTTTTCGTTTCTCTTTCTCGCCGTTTATCCGCCCTTCCTCGTTTCATCCGCTTTCAGCCCCCTGGTCCTCGGTATTCGTCCTCGGATTCTCTACGCGCGTTCTTGTTTCGCAATTTTTAAACAAGGAGAACATTTGTGATGGGTATATTCTACTTCTGTCTGGTAGAGCAGAGAGGAGGTAGGTTTGATTGTTTCTCTTTCTTCGAGACGGTATCACGAATCGATTTTCAATTTATTGAAAATGGTAATGTGTTTGACGAGTATTCTAATTCTTTTTGTCAATTTAACGTTATAATCTTCTTTCTCTTCCAACGCTTCCTGAAAACTTCTTTCTTCATCAAACCTCTACGATCTACGTTCACGTCATACGTTCACGAACATCTCAAAGCAAAATTTCTTATACTATATTGCAACCCTACGCATAAATAATTTTAAATACATCCACGGATATTTGAAGATATTTGAAATATTAGATATAAGACATTCAACGCTGCCAAGTTTAAAAGATTGCAAGAAACGTAATAATTCCTTCACGAATACCTTAAAACATTCTTACGCAACTCCACGAATAATTTTGAATACACATATATTTGAAATACCAAAAGCATCCAACTCTGCTGTCAACTATGTCCTAAGAGACTTCTAGAAAGAAAATACAACGAATCCGCGTATCCATCGATAAACACCGTAATCCATCCAAAGGCATCCAACGCTGCCGAGTTTCAAAAGACTCGAGGAACGATTCAACGATGCAAGGGACGATGGATGTACAAGGAAGTCGTCGTTTCTCCCAGAGAGTAACCGGTAACAAGGATTATATTCGCGGAAACTTCGTCCTTGTTTGCGGGGGAGGGGTGGGAGGAAGGTGAAGAAACTATCTCCGCGGCTACGTTCCGTCTTTCGATGTAATAAAGTGCACCACGACCTCGCTCCGGGAATGGTGCGCCTCCTCCCCTCCGCTCTATATATATATATATATATTTGTCTTCCCTTCTTTTCCAGGGATTCTTTCTCGCCCTCTCCACCTCTTTTCGCCCGCCTTGTGTGCCCGCTCCTCGTGGGGGAGGGGGTAACGATGCCCCGAGGCGGGCCTCCTCCGCTGCCGCGCCGCGCCGCCGCTGCACCGCGGTAACGATAAGCAACGAAATGAAATATTAATGAAGTACCCTGGGCGCGCGCGACCATTTTTCGCGTCGCGTCTCACCACCGACGCCTCGGGTGTCGAAGAAAAAGTCGCGGGGGGGGGGGCGGGTGGATCATCCGGTGCTTCCTCCGGTGGGGGCGGAGGGGGTGAGGGAGGGAGAAAAGAAACGGGAGAACGGGTTGGAAAGGAGAAAACCGCTGACGGGAGCTGTGTCTCATCGCTCTCGATGGGTAAAAGTAAATTGATGACGCGGTGGGATTTTTTTATCCGGGCGTCGTGGTCAATCCTGCAACGGGATGAGTTGTAGGGTGGTGAGTTAGCGTAGGACTCGGTGCGTTTCTGGCGAGTTTCTTTTTTTTTTTTTTTTTTTCTGTTGGGTATTATTGTTAGAATATTTTGGTTGTATCGAGGTAAATAATAAAAGAGAATTTTCATATAAGTGGAACTAAGTATATAAGGGGAAAATTTTAATATTGTTGAATAATTTATTGTTCATTTATTGAAGCATTGAATAATCGCAGATAACGAGGTTGTACGAAGAGCGGATCAATTATAAGAGCTACGAATAATTGTTATTCGAGCATTTTAAATAAAGTATCGTTTAAAGTGAGTTTTATTCGAAATTATAATTAATTATTTTTTTAGTTGTTCAGAGTTCAATTCTTAATGCTATTGTTATGATACTTAGAATATAATAAAATAAAATGAATACATTATATTCGTAGATACTTTTTATTTTATAATAAAAAGATATTGTTTTTTAAATTAAATTTTGAAATTAATTAAAGAAATCAAATTTATGGATTCCAAATTTTTTAATTAAATCACGTTCCTAATTATAATTCCTACGATATCATCAATTTCTCTAATATTTCTTTTAGCTTCGAATCATCGAAGCTCTGTTTAACGAAATTTAAAAAAATTGATATTCAGAATTATTTTGGCTAAATCGCATAATCTCTAAGTCTAAAATTCTATCTTTCGAGTTGTAAAATATCCCGACTAAATCTTTCTAACTGTTGTCACAGGTTTAAATAAATAAATCTCTTACTTTTCCAACGATGATTGCTCGTCTGGATGCAATTATCCATACGATGCGCGTATGCAACATGGATTCGTCAAGGAGAACGCGGATCGCTTGTGAAAGGGTTAATCTATCGCGATATATCATTCGAGCGTCTGGCTCTGGTCATCAGGGAGTCAATCAGCGACACGTCGATCATATTTTTCTCACTCAAAGAGTTTCCTCGATAATTAACGATCGACACAATCGCACTTTCGATCACACTTTCGAGACATAATTTCTACGTGAAAAACATAAACACGTGAATCCATTTGAGAAAGAAAAAACTCTCGAATGAATATTATCACAGTCGTGAGCTGAGAGAAACCGTTCAAAGTAATTCCAGTCTCAAAAAATTTTAAATAAAAAGTCAATTCAAAAAGTTTCGCAAAACTTCAAATGCATTACGATATAATTAAGACTTATCTCTGTACAAATAGTCTATTTTCATTTGTATCTCAACGTTCTCAAAGTTTACAATTAAGTTTAAAATTTTAAATTTAAAAGGATTAAAAATATACTAATAAATATCGAAACGCTATTAATAAGAAAGGTAAGCGTTTTGAAAATTGATAGCGCATTTTCCCACCTAAAATGATAATAAAGCAACATCAAATCTGAAGCATTATGCAGCAAAACAAGTATTCAGGAAATACATACAACTCTCTATTATCGTTTGACAAGAATATATATATATATAACGAAAAAGAAAAAATAGAGGAAAGTAGAGAGAATCTACCATCCATAAACGAAACTTTCAACATCCCCCTTAAGAAACGATCCAATCCCACCCCAGGAAAACAGAAAAACGTAATATACGCGATAGAAGGCAGGATTCGGACTCGAGGAGCGAGCTAATTCGCCGAAGCCGCGTTTTCACGAACAATGCATGAAAATAACCCATTGCACACTTTTACCACGGCGGTTCATGTCAGCGTGGTTGCATTTGCGATGAATGCGAGATACCCCGGGCAATTCCCTAATTGCAGTGAGAGGCAAACGAGGCGGATGAAAGAGAGAGCTGGATGACCGCCGCGCGACAAGGACGACGAATCTTATCGAAAGAGAAAGACAGAGAGAGAAAGGTAGAGAGAGAAAGAGTGAAAGCTAGAGGAGCGAACGGTGGAAAAGGGAGAAGGAGAGAG